GTACGCGATGACCTGATGACCAAGGGCGTGGAACCCATCGAGGAGGAGATCCACCCCGAGTACCTCCGAGGCAAGACGAACTGTACTTACTTCTTCGACTAAGATGTGATGACGTCACGACGGCGCATGGAGGCACACGCCAGTCTCTCCTTCGCTGCCTTCTTTACGACGTGAAAGACACAAAGAGAGAAACAAAAAGAGCCTTTATGCTGTATAGTGTGGTTTTATACGGACGCAGATTTCTAGCAGAGTTTCTCAGAGAGTGAGGCGTAAATAGAGAGAGAATATATATGAATAAATATATATATATCTTATATCTAATATCTATATCTATATGGGACGTTTTTGTGTTTGTGTTTCAGAGTGCTTTAGTAGAGTATGTACAGTGAAAGACAACCAAAGACAGCTAAAATCGAAGAATATTTAGGTACTTTCGTTCGGAGTCCTGACTATCAGCAAAACTCATGAACTATATATAAAGGCCGTCTTGGGACACATGAACCCTTTTAACTAGGTCTTGTGTCAGACAATGGTGCTAGAATCTGTGCCAAAGGTGAACATGTTGCCCTATATAATGTCTAATGTTAATTACCGAAGTCTGGGTTCCTATTGTGTGTGTATTCTTGTCGTCTGGAAAGAAAAAAAGCTGGAAACTAAATATAAAAAAATATATATGACAGACAACCGAGTTTTAATTCGTGTGAAACAGTGGTGTTGACTTTGTTGATATAAATATATATTATTTTTTAGTGTGGAGAAGAAAGCCCAAAGAAAACATATCAGCGAAATATTTTTGCGGGTTGTATTGCACCCGAAATAAAATATGCGAGATTAAAAGAAAATGCTTTTAAAACAACAAATGTTTCGACGAATTTCTTCCGAGTGAATATCTTGTTTAGAAAAAAGAGAAACACTTTTTCGTGGATATTGTTATGCAAAAAACTGATCTTTGTTTTCCAATTCATCACAAGAATCAGGCAGAAATGATTTGTCCCGGAGTAAAGTACAATGGACTCTCAAGCATAATTCCCGGTATATCATCCAGGATTAAAACCAAAGCAAAGTTTGCCTTTGCAAAGGGTTTGTCCGATGTGAGATATTCGACAATAATGTGCTCAATACAGAAACTACATTTTGCTGGAACATTCAATGGAAAGAGAATTGCATCTGTATAGGTGTGCTGCGAGGTGCAAACTACAGTGCGCAGGTCTCTGTGCTAGCGTGGGCCACCTGCGATATCATAGAGCATCTATTTTGCATTTGAAGCTTTCCTTTCTTTATAAGTTGGTATAATTGTGGGGGTATTTTTCTAGATCTTGATTAGCTGTATGATAGGAAACCTGCAAGGACTATTGTAATTGTTTTTATAAGTGCGTGTGATTATGTCTAAGAACAAGTTTCATGTGTATAGACACGCAATATTTTAGGGGGAAGGAAGATGGTGACGAAGTTGCGTAGACGTATTATCAACCTCTCTTGTTCATGTATCAAAGATACAAACATCTTAATAGGCAATTGCGACACGCTCCTGTAATATTCTCGTCGGCCAGTTGTTTTTTTCCCATTTTTTCATCCAATCGGCCGCCATTAGTCATCACTTAACATAGCAAAATAGTCAAGCACTGAGTGGGCAGACGTTGCATAATATATTTTGCGAATGCTCATGGAGGATGAGTCGCCGGGAAGATGCCCTCGAGGTGTCCCCGACAAGGCTCTCTCTCCCTCTCATGATGTCATCTGGATTGACATGTCTTCTCACAGACGTTGCGTATTATTCCTAGAAACACAGCCTATGACTTTAGTAAGTGGCTATAGTCAGTATACACATAAATAAACATATATATGTACACATCGTAGTTCGTGCTCAAACAAAATGACTGTTTCATTCTGAACTTTTTCGTTTTGTCGTTTTCTAAAATGAAAAAAACGGATATTGGTATAAATGTTGGAAATGCTAAGTACTTGTTTTATAGGACCAAAGGGCAAGCAGTAAGGGTCCACAGAGAATCGGCTATGACGGAAGATGTAGCTGTAGGGAATATATATATATATATATATATATATATATATATATATATATATATATATATATATATATATATATATATATATATATATATATATATATATATTATATATATTATATATATATATATATATATATATATATATATATATGTATATATATACATACACACACATACACACACACGCGCGCGCGAGTGAGTGTGTGGGTGTTTATGTAATCAACTAATAAATGCTCATTTGCCATTACTTTCGGCTGTATCCGGTATTTCTTCCTCTCTCTCATTTCACTTTTTTCTTTTTATCAGCACAAGGATACTTCGAGAACATTCCATTCCGCAACCCTCGTCCCTTTTGCTTCCTTTCCCTCCTTTCCATTCAGTGCACGGTTGTCTTTTCCTTTTATTATCATCTTTCCACCTCCGCCTAATCAATTATGATTTTATCTGTTACTCACCTCACTGTGTGTGTGTGTGTGCTGCGTTTCTGCCATTAGGATCACGTGATCAGCGGAGCCTGACGCTGGCCTCAGCACCAGAGCTCTGACGACCGTAGGGGAAGTGTCAGGGCGGGGGGGGGGGGGGGGTGACCGGACCAAAGGGGGACGGTAGCTACTGTGGGTTTCAAAGGGGGAAGAGCCCCACCGAAGCTCCTCGCCTTTGTTATGCCGGTGTATTTTGTGTGTGTGTGTGTGTCAGGGGGAGGGTACAGGGGGATTTATTATCATTTCTAAATATAATCTCTTTTTTATTCTATATTTGTGTTTTTGCGAGGACACGTGTCAGCAAAAAATGAGCTTTCCGTTGTGTATTGCGAAGGCTATTTTTTGCTTGCCGTCTGAGTAAATACTGTAAGAAGGGGAATTGGGTAAACTAGATGTTTCTTTCTTTTTTTTACTGTGTGGAAAATAATTAAAAAAACGAGTTGTGTGTGATGCTTCAAGAGGGGAAACATCATTATTTTCAAATCGACGTTTTTTTCTACAATCTACATACTTCTACACTATATAAGCACATTTAAACTTCTTATGATGACATTTTTTTTATACCTCATGTCTTTTTTATATATATACATACATAAAGTAACTGATAATTGGAGAGTAAGGATAGATGTAGACATTGTAATTGTTATACCTAAAGCTGTTACATTTATAAGATTTTTTAAAGTGTAAAATGCAAAAGAAACCCAAGGCGATGATTGAGTAACATTATTCGCGTGTGTGTAAAATGCAAAAAAAAATGAATGTCGGGTTTTTGTTGTTGTGTTGTGTCTAGCCCGACTTTGTTGCTCTAGTAGTGCTGGTAGGCTGGTCCCCGCCAGGTGCAGCGTGCAACATGGAGATAATAACAATAATTAATGATAATGATCATCAAGAAGCGTGGAACGGTTCGAGTATGGTTCTGCCAAACGAAGATCTTGTTTTCATTTGCGTTTTTCATTTGTTTTATTGTTTATGTTCATCTTGATTTTTTATTTTTAAGAAGCCGTCCTTGCACCGAATCTGGTGCGACGTGGTTTAAAAAAACAAAACAAAAAAAAAACATGAAAACGTATAACAACGATAATATTCACAAGAGACCTTTCAATCACATATAATGCACATGGGTGTATGAAGTGAACTAAGAATAAATACTGTAATACTTGTAAAATACAAAGACGAACAAGCAAAATAAACAAGTCATTTCTCATCGAGTGGGCGAGAGATTACCAACACAATTCTACAGTAATCTTGGGGATTTGCCGCCTTTGTTCAACAATAAGGCCATCAATATCCCGATAATGTTCCATGCTCCACTTGGCTGTTACTGCGGCCTTGCAGTTTATACGAATTGGGATCAATATCAGTAAGTGTTTATCCGAAAACAATTTAAAAATCACAGTCGTGATAAAGCAGGATTATTTGTGTAAATTTATTTATCTCATGTTTTTTTCGCTCTAAGTAGTAATAATAAGTGACCAAAAGAAAAGAGAAAAAAACACTTATTCCAATAAAAGAGATGAAACTATTCGACAATCAGCAGTGACCACCAGCTTGACCTAACCTTTGTGAAGTGGGGAGACCAGAGCCCCTGGCTGGAGTGCGCTAGTCTCTAGTTCCCGCCGCCTCGCTCCTCTCCGCTCTTTCCCTTTCCTCCCTGAGTATTTCTTCATTGTAATTGCTGCCTTACAAGATTACAATATAGCTGTGGTTATTATAAAAGAGGATATTGCCGTCGTAGATGATTGGTGGTGTGGCTAGCAGATATTAGTGAAATTCTTTCTTTCTTTCACTTTGGTATTGGGGCTCTGGTCTGCAGATTTATATTAGAAACTGTAAATTTATTTGTTAGGTAAGATATAGCTTGCATATCGTAAAGCATGTACTATATTGCGTAGTATTTATATCCTTGCAGCATTACAACTATTCTCAAATACAGAAAATTAATAAAATGTTGTATATACAATATATAACATTGGTGTGTACACACAAATTCATATATATTTGCGTATGTATACGGTATGTATACATATGAATATATATATATATATATATATATATATATATATATATATATATATATATATATATATATATATATTATAATACACACATAGTATATGGACATACTTATAATGCATATATGTGTGACATGCATGAATGTATAGTTCAGTACGTGAAAGTATGTTTGGCAGTTTGCGTGCACATGATGAATGTCTTGCTTATCATCGCAGCTTTGACGAATGCAGCAGAAAGAAGTGTTAGATGAGTGAAGGAATGAGCTCAGAGCTTGTAGGGAAGCAAGAACGAAAGCAAACGAGAAATAAATGCTAATAATTACGAGTAAACAGCCACGCCTCCTATACCGATAGCTTCTCCAGTCTGGTGCCCTTCCTCATCACGTCCTGCGCCAAAGGACCTCTTCGTCCCTCCTCGTCGGGCGCGAGGGCGCGGCGACCCACGGGCGGCGTTCGCGCTCCGGCAAGGCCAACCTCGCAGGCGACGCAGGGAGAGGGTGACCTTGCTGAGGCTGTGAAACCTTGCAAGGTCGTTGGGCCTGTCAACTCACGTTCGGAAATTGCTGTTTCATGTTTATTATACAATGAAAGTGCCTTAGCAAGGTTCGGTTTCATGTGTGCAGATTGTGACATTGTGCATGTTGCAGAGTTGCTGCTGCTGTGCTGCTGCTTCCACCGCTATGTTTGTGTGTGCAGTTGTCAAATTACACGGGGGAATGTGTACTGTACTATTGGCACAGCTTTTACGATAGATTA